TTTGTGATTTCACTTTATATCCACCTTTGGCTTATTATTTATACATTGTCTATTTTTTTGGTGGTTCCTTTACAGTATACAGTATATCACTTTAATTCATCACAATCTATCTTCAAATAATGTTATACCAAGTAATAATTGTGTCATATTGAAATAAGATGGTACAGGTATGCCTGATTCCTGTATAAAATATACAATATGACCTTAAGAGAATAAGGGCGTCTTCATGTTCTTCCAGACCCTGAGACATGATTTGAGTGCAAGTAATTTATTTAGGAACAGTTGATGAGTGAGAAAGTGAGACAGGAAAGGGAATGTAGCCAATAAAAGGTAATTAAAAAAAAATTACAACTGTGGGCATGAATTTCAAAAGCATTATATCAACCAAAGGACAAAGAATTGAGGGTATTTACTCACCATCTCCCATCAGTCATTGGTTGATAGATGATCTGGAAGAGATTCTAAAAAGAACATTTACTTCTCAGTTTCCTAGTCTGCCTTAAGTGAGGGTAGAATCGCTCTGGCCATGAGAGAAAGCCCTCAGATGCAGATGTACAGCTTAAAAAGATATGGGCAACCATCAACAGTATCTACAACAGGGAATCTATAGGAATCAGTGGGCAATGTGACCTGTGATTGACAGTGAATGAGCCATTCAGCACTAGCTATCATAGCAGGTCAGAATATCTCTCAAGCAACCCATTCTCAAAAAACTAAAGTTGTGACTTGCCCACAAATAATCAAAGGAATGATGAAATTTGCTTTTATAGGCTTAGAAAAGCAGAAAACACTCTCAAAGTGAATTATAGCATACAGTTTATACTACATAACGCTTATCATAGGGCCTCTTAATTAAAAGAGAGTATCCTCTGATATTTGCCAAACTTCTGTTAAGAGTGATGGGATATTATTTAATTTATTTTTGAGTTTAAACTCTAACATATACTTACAATACAGTTACCAGTCACATTATCATCATCTATTGGTCCATTGCTTATAGCATCTTATGCACAAGGCAGTCAGCCACACAATATTGTGTCATGAATACTGCCCCTGAATTGAGCAGTGCCCTCAGTCTGCCCAGCCATTCACAGTTTCTCTGCATACAGTTTGTCTCAATACTATTTATGGAACCCATTATTTTTCCCTCAATAGTTTATAAATGTGGTTTCATTGTCTTTGTAGTCTCAGTGCAGCAGACAAAATGTTACCATACATATCTTTCCTTTAGTAGTAATCCATTCTCTGTCTTTAAGGTTGTAGATATTCTCTTTACCCCTAGAGTCTGAAGGGGTTCACCATGAGCATATCCTTGTGAATATGGATAAATGCTATCCATTGAGGATGTTTAGCTTAGGAATCCAAGATTTCCTTTGTTTCTAGGAAATGGCTTGATGATGTGTATTTCAGACTGATCCTGACTTGCCACTTTTAGAGTCACCAGCTGAAAGGTTGTAAATGCACCATAGAACCTCTTCAGTAGGAGGTTCCTCCCTAATATACTCTTAAACAATAAATACCCCAATATGTTAAATTTTCTTATTAGTTTAAATATTATATGGTTTCACAGCACTTGTATTTTGAAATAATAGTGTCCTTATTCACAAATCTAAACCTTTCCCTCTGCCTAGTTGAAGAGAGGACATAGGACCGTGCAGAAACATAGAATAGTCATTTAAATCTCCATCAGCACCAAGATGCCTCTATTAAGTACCTCCATTTATATGACAAGGATCATTTTCTCCTAATACTGTATTTGATTTGTAGAAATTATGATTTCAGTTCACTTCAATGTGTACCCTCTTCTTGTCTCTTCCTGTTTAGATTGCCAAGCACATTGATGTAATCATTTTACATTCATGTACTCTTTGTGCCCTGTCAAAAAGTCAAAGATTATCTAAAATATGCTGGAGGACCTGTACAGTGCTGGCTTCAGTCCTCAGCCTTACATCTTCCTAGCTTGCATTCCTGTTAGGTCTGTACATCAGATTTTCTGAATATGCTATTCTTCCTCTTAATTCTTCCTTACTGCTCACCAATATCAAGCCATCACCTGGATATTTTGCAGTGGCAATAGGTAGCCAAAGATATTACAGACTGAAACAAATTATACATTTGCCACTTTAGAGTTCCTTTAAATTCATATGTCCAATGGAGAAAGTCACTACATATTTCTTAGAGTAGCCAATGAAAGAAAAATAAATATTACACTGAAAGTTTTTATAATCATTTCAGAAATAAAAAAACATTCCATAGTGGCACTTACCCAAATTAAGATATGTTTCATTGTCTAACTAAAGAAGTAAATTATTTTTACTTGAGTAATAGACATGTAAGAGATTATAAGACCAATAACTATGGAAACTTACGTTTCTGCATGATTAAACATGAAAAGATAAATGCAGCATATTCCTAATGTCTGAGGAGATATATCCTGAAATCTTCCAATATCTACAAATTCTTGAGTACCAATATTGCCTATAATTTCCCTGATAAAATATACTGTGTATTTTCATACAGTTGAGCCATACTTTTAATTAATTGTCTACTTTTTATTTTATCCCAGTTAAGATTCTTCTCAATAATATCCACCATTCTCTTATATTCTGTGCTTTTTAAAATATTTTCTTCACTACAAAGAAAGTTTTCTCTTCAGGACAGTTTCCTCTAAGAAGTCGCTTCATCTGAGTCTCTGAACAATCGAAAGGCAGCAAGACTTGTTTTTTCATTCAAGTTTTTGCTTAAATTCCAGTTTCATTAATACACAGTGTAATATTAGTTTCAGGTGTAGAATTTAGTGATTCATCACTTACATAAAACACCCAGTGCTCATCACAACAGGTGGCCTCCTAAAACCCTTCACCTATTTAACCCATCCCCCTGCCCACCTCCCCTCCAACAACCCTCTGTTTGTTCTCTGTAGTTAAGGGTCTATCTCCTGTTTAGCCTCTCTTTTATTTCCCCACTATATCCATCTGTTTTGTTTCTTAAATTCCACATATGAGTGAAATCATGTTATTTGTCTTTCTCTGACTTATTTTGCTTAGCATAATACTCTCTAGCTATGTCCATGTCATTGCAAATGACAAGATTTCATTCTTTTTCATGGCTGAGTAACATTCTATTACATATATACCACATCTTCTTTATCCATTCATCAGTCAATGGACCTTTGGGCTCTTTCCATAATTTGGCTATTGTTGATAATGCAGCTATAAACATTGAGGTGCATGTATTCCTTTGAATCTGCATTTTTAAATTTTTTTTTTCAACCTTTATTTATTTTTGGGACAGAGAGAGACAGAGCATGAACGGGGGAGGGGCAGAGAGAGAGGGAGACACAGAATCGGAAACAGGCTCCAGGCTCTGAGCCATCAGCCCAGAGCCTGACGCGGGGCTCGAACTCACGGACCACGAGATCGTGACCTGGCTGAAGTCGGACGCTTAACCGACTGCGCCACCCAGGCGCCCCGAATCTGCATTTTTATATCATTTGGGGAAATACCTAGGAGAGCATTGCTGGATCATTTCTTACACCATACACAAAAATAAATTCCAAATGGATGAAAGACCTAAATGTGAGACAGGAAACCATCAAAATCCTAGAGGAGAACACAGGCAGCAACCTCTTTGACCTCAGCCATAGCAGCTTGTTACTAGACATGTTGCCAGAGGCAAGGAAAACAAAATCAAAAATAAACTATTGGGACTTCATTAAGATAGAAAGCTTCTGGGGTGCCTGGGTGGCTCAGTCAGTTGAGGTCCAACTTCGGCTCAGGTCACGATCTCATGGTTTGTGAGTTGTGAGTTCAAGCCCCACGTTGGCTTTGTGCGGACAGCGCAGAGCCTGCTTCAGATTCTGCCCCCCTCACTCCCCCCACCCCATTCATGCTTTCTAAAAAAAAAAAAAAAAAAAAAAAAAAAAAAAAAACATTAAAAAAGAAGATAAAAACTTCTACACAGTGGAGAAAACAATCAACAAACTTAAAAGGCAGTCTTTGGAATGGGAGAAGATATTTACAAATGACATATCTGAGAAAGGGGTTAATATCCAAAGTATATAAAGAACTTGTACAACACAACATGGGAGAAACAAATAATCTACTTAAAAAATGGGCAGAAGACATGAATAGACATTTTTCTAAAGAAGACATCTAGATGGCCAACAGAAACGTGAAAAGATGCTCAACATCACTCATCATCAGGGATATACAGATCAAAACTACAGTGAGATACCACCTCATACCTGTCAGAATGGCTAAAATTAACAACACAAGAAACAACAGGTGTTGCTGAGGGTAAAGAGAAGGGGAAACCCTCTTACACTGTTGGTCAGAATGCAAACTGGAAAAGCAGCAAAACTTTTGATATGCAGGCTTTGGACAATTATCTTGGCTCAGTCATTCCAGCCTCAAGCAAAGAAACATAAGTATCTGCTACAATCATATTACAAACTATTATTATATCTAATTTAGAGGAAATGTACAAAGAGTAAAAAATCACAAATTTTAAATGCTTAGTTTTCTTAAAGGTGGTCTATTTTTAATCAGTGATTCAGTTCTTTTTTTTATTTTTTTTTTAAATTTTTTTTCAACGTTTTTATTTATTTTTGGGACAGAGAGAGACAGAGCATGAACGGGGGAGGGGCAGAGAGAGAGGGAGACACAGAATCAGAAACAGGCTCCAGGCTCTGAGCCATCAGCCCAGAGCCTGACGCGGGGCTCGAACTCCCGGACCGCGAGATCGTGACCTGGCTGAAGTCGGACGCTTAACCGACTGCGCCACCCAGGCGCCCCAATCAGTGATTCAGTTCTGTGTGATGTTAAGATCTCCTTACATTGAAACAAATACCCAATGAAGCTTTCATCATACAGCACTCAGAAACTGCCCTAGACACTGCCTTCTGTTAAACTTATAAAGCCAAAGCTACTTTTCATAACTTCAGACCCCTTGCATTTTGCAAAGTTTGAAATGAGCAAGTTTAAATTTTGCCTTAAGAACTATTTATATTTTATTATTCTCCTCAAGGCATTTAAAACCTCTTTGTTTCTCAAACTGTAAATAAAAGGATTTAGCAGGGGAATTATGATTGTGTAAAATACAGAATACATTTTATCTTGATTTTCAGCTGGGCCAGACCCAGGACGCACATACATGAAGAAGAGAGTGCCATAGAACAAAGAGACAGAGAGCAAGTGGGCGCTGCATGTGGAGAAGGCCTTGCTCCTGCCCTTTTCAGACTTCTTTTTCAGGATGGCAAAGAGGACATGGGAGTAAGAGATGATAATAGTCATAAAGGTGAAGGATTGTATAAAGACTGAAAATATAAAAATTAAGAGCATATTAACTCTAGGGTCAGTACAGGAAATCTTAAACAGTTGTAAAATTTCACAGTAGAAATAATGTATTACATTGGACTTGCAGAAAGTTAATCTAAATAACAAACCGGTGTGCATCATAGGATGAAGAAACCCTATAATATATGAAACACCTAATAACCGAATGCAAAAGATATTGGACATCACCACTGGATAAAGCAAAGGATTACATATAGCTACATAGCGATCATAGGCCATCACTACCAGAAGGAAACATTCAGTGTTTGCACTGGAAGCAAAAATATAAAATTGGGTGATGCATTCAACCAGGGATATCAAGTGATTGTTGGATAAAAAATTCATCAGCATCTTGGGAGTCACAGAGGTGGAGGAACAAGCATCTGCAAAGGCCAAACTGCCAAGGAGTAAGTACATGGGGGTATGAAGATGGGGGTCCTTCCAGATGAGAAAAATCAGTCCGAGGTTGCCCACCATGGTAGTGAGGTAGATGACCAAGAACACCAGGAACAGGGGGACCTGCAGCCCTGGAAGATCTGTAAGTCCCATGAGAACAAACTCCATCACCTGTGTTTTGTTTCCATCAGATTCACTCAAGTTGATCACTGAAATGGAAGAATAAGTGAAAAACAGAGTCATAAAAGACTGTGAAAATAATCACGTTTTATTTGCAAATAAATGTATCTTCCTTATTTACATATCCCTTTTAACCAGAACATTTATCTTTACACTTCAGTATTCTTTACAAACAATATGTATTTGGGCAACTGTTCCTCAAAATTAAGGGGAATATATATGTATATACCATATACACACCATATATATGGAATTTATTATGTATATTTATTTTATGTATTTATATTTATACATATTTATTATGTATAATTTATTATATATATAGAGTTTATTACTTGTATAAGAGAAGTGGTTTTGTTTTTTAATTTGGAAAAAATTAATTTCAATTTAATAATCATCTTCTAATTATAAAAGCTTTAAAAATAGAATTAAGCTTTTGCAATATGTTAAAGATGAGTAATCAAAGCCAATAGCATACATTCTAAACAATATAGCATCTTCCTCAAATTAGGACAGATTGAAATGCTTACTCTGACCATTATTGTACAGTATTTTTCAGAAACTTCAATACATCTAAGATATGAAAACAAAATATAACAAAGATTAATGGAATGTCATAGAAATTGTAGGAGATAAATTCATATTTTTACTAATGTTATATTGTTATAATTAAACAAATAACATTATGACTTTAATAAGTACCAGATGCAGGATGAATACATAAATAATCACGAGATTTTTTTCAGTGCAAGCAAGAAAGAAATAAAAAGGATATATATCAGTTACAATAGCCATACACCTTAAAATACATTGAAATATTTTTAAAATATATAAGACCTTGTGAATAAAATTGTAAAACTTACCGAAAAGTATTATACAATTTCTAAAGAAATAGCCAAAATATGATCTCAGATAAGAAGACCTAGTATTATAAATATGTCATTAGAATTCAATTTCAGCTAGAAATTAAATTCAGTTAGTTGTTTTTAAGATTATTTATTTTTATTTATCTATTTTGAGAGAGAGAGAGACAGAGCCTGAGCAGGAGAGGGGCAGAGAGAGGAGTATTCCAAGCAGGCTTCACAGAGCTCAGTGTGGGGCTCGATCCCACAAACTGCAAGACCATGACTTTAGCGAAAATCAGGAGTTGGTCACTTAACTGACTGAGCCACCCAGGTGCCCCTGAATCCTAACTGCTTTTTAACATAATAGCATAAGCATAAAGTTCTTATAAAATAAAATTATTTTAAAGAGACAAGAAAAATATGAACAGTAACAAAGTTAAGTGTGCAGTGGTGTTACAACATAAAGCCTTTAATAGAATATAATATGACATGAAAATAGGAAAATATAATAGTAAAACCAAATAAAGACTCCAAAGACTGATTCAAGTATATGTATTGGAATTTAATATAGTACATGGGTGATTTTTCAATTGAGAAAATATTATGGCTACATTTGCCTATTTCAGAAAAAAAAAAGTAAGAATGGCTTTGTTTTCCATGTTTGTTTTAAAATGGTTACTAGATCAAGGGCTTAAAAGTAAAAAATTAAAAGAAAACAATTTAAATATTCTAAGAAAATTCATAAAATAAATATAATTTAAATATATTACAAAAATCTCTAAGAAACCCACGAATTATAAATAAGGATATAAGTGTACTTAATATAATGTTTAAATACATGAAAATGAAGTATGTATCAAATATTTCACAAGGTAAAAGATGAATAAAATGTTGGAAAAATATGTATAGTTAATATAATAGGCTAAATATTAGTTCCTATCACATGCTAGGAAATATTACTAATTGGTAAGAAAAGTCAAGTAATTCGACAGAAAACAAAAATGGAATTGAATGGGCAAGTCACAGAATATGTCAACACATTGAGTTAATGTGAGGAAGGTGAGCACCTTCCCTAGTACTCAAGATGTGTGAATAAAATAAGACGTTATTTTTCATTCCTCAGATTAGCAAAATCTGATTGTTAGAATTTAGAAAATGCCACTGTCACCCTTACTAATAAAAATGTAAATTAAGACTGAAAAACAATTTGGTAATATTTAAAAAAAATACACAGGGGCACCTTGGTGGCTCAGTCAGTTAAGCACCCAACTTTGGCCCATATCATGATCTCACTTACAGTTTGTGAGTTTGAATCCCATGTCAGGCTCTGTGCTGACAGCTCAGAGCCTGGAACCTGCTTCAGATTCTGTGTCTTCCTCTGTCTCTCTGCACCTCCTCAGCTTGCTCTGTCTCTCCCTCTCAAAAATAAATAAGCATTAAAATAATTTTAATAATGAAACATAAATAAAAATACACATACTTTTCAACTCAGCAACCCATGCCTTCTATCTATTCTATAGCAATAACATATTTCATAGGTAGAAAAGTCTACAACAACATTGTTCACAGTGGCAAAAGACTGGAAATAATATGTAAACCAACAGGATGAAACAATGGTTGAACAAATTTTGGCATAACCAGACTAACCAATATTATGGCTAAAATCAATAAAATGAGCTCTTGATCTACGAGTTGTCTGAAAGAAGTTTCCACAATTGCTAGGAATGTGAGAAAAATAAGATGCAGAGAAATGTATTTAACATTATCTCATTAAACAAATAGATAATAGAGTCTTAAAATTCCCATTCTGTAGATCTGTGAATACACACACACACACACACACACACACACACATATTTGCAAAAACCATAAGAACATAAAGATTGTATAAAATGATAGACCTTAGCTTGTTAATATTTATTGTCTGGTGGAGGTGAGAGGAGAGAATAAAGGAGGAGAAAAATACACAGTACCTCCAAAACTGCTTTTGTGATAAAAACACAATATATAGTCATCCTATTTTATAGAATTATAGATATTTATATATGGTCAATGACATATATTTAAGGCTAGTCTTAAATTTTAATAGTAAAGAAGAGAAAAAGAGAGTGACAGGAATAATAATACTATTGCATTTAGTAGGTGGCAATAAATATTTTAATGAAAAATTAGGAATTAATCATAAGTAAATTTTATTTTATAGGTTTTCTGTATTTTAAAATACAGAAAAGGTTTTGGATTATGTAGCATATGCTTTTGAATATTTTCAGTTGTATCTGAATTCATCCATCAAGAGTAATTTCCCTCTGTCTCTCAGACAAAAGTTTTTTTGTAAACAAAGTTAGATATATAAACACAATGTTTTTTTAAAATAGTTTTCTTCATTTTCAGGTTCCTTTCTTTATATTTGATGCATCCCTGAAATAATTTGCTTGATTTTGTTCTATGACCTATAAATGTTGTCTAAAAGCAAATCCAAAGAAGAAATCCCAAGGTATTTAGAGGTGAATGCACAGACTCTTAGATCACCTAGAAGGAGAAAAATCTATCTATAATTTGATGTGTAAATTCATTGTTTCCCAAAATAAAATGAATAACACAATTTTATACACACACTTCTTGCTGGTTAAAATACATTTAAAAATCTACCTATATACCCAAATTGTATTGTTTAACTTTAAAATAGCTCCATAGACAATATTTTCATAATGGTTCAACATTAGGGAGAATGAGGAGTTATTTCCCATGTTCCTTGAGAATAGAAAAAAAAATAGCTTTAAAAATTTATCTTTTGGGTGCAAGGGTGGCTCCATCAGTTAAGCATCTAACTTCAGCTCAGGTCATGATCTCACAGTTCGTCATGATCTCACAGATCTCACAGTTCCAGCCTTGCATCAGGCTCTCTGCTGTCGGCACAGAGCCCACTTTGGATCCTCTGTCCCCCCCCCTCTCTGCCCCTCCCTTGCTCTCTCTCCCCTCTCTCTCTCAAAAACAAATAACATTAAAAATTTATCTTTTAAAGCATGTACCCATGAGAAGGCCTAGAAACACAGCACATGCAGCAAGAATGACTGAAATGTCTCTTCTAAAAATTAGCCTTACTAGACACTGAGGGCAAGTCATTTAATTTCTAAGGTGGGGTTTTGTCCTGAGTGAGCCTGCCTAAGTTTCTTGCCAACTTTAAATCCATAATTGATACACCCTATTTTTATAATTAGGTCAAGAGCTATTAAGTTCTTAGATCTTTTCAATATCCATATGTATCTCTATATCATATAGATATACACATATATATGTGTGTATATATATATACACACACACATATGCACACACATATATCCATTGGAAACAAGGGGCTTAATAATGTTATCATTGGTGACTTTAGCTCATCTTTTCATGATTCCATGAACAAATTAAGGAAGTTTAAGCAGCATAATTTAGTTGTCCTTAGCCTGACAATGAAAAGTTTCTATGGTATGAAATAACCTCTGAAATTCTTGAGTCATTATCATCATTTTATCATTTGCCTCCTTTTTCTATTATCTCAAGTTTGCTATTAAAAAGAAATATTATTATTTGTGTCTCCTCATCAGTCAAACATTTAGTATTTATGACAAGCATCCAGAATGGTATACCCTGAAGTTAAACGAAAAACCTCATAGGGTTACCAGGATTTTCATTCTCACCTGGATGTCTCATTATCAAATAAAAAAATTGAAAAACTACAAATAATGAAAATTAGACGGATCCTAGTGTCCTCACTCAGTTTCTTAAAGTCTTTTCGAGATTGAGAAATGATGGGTTTCTTGAAGGAAAGATGGTGGGTTTCTAAAGGGAAGAAATATAAATTTCCCTCTACCATACTTTACATTGGGGCCAGAGACATCTTCATGAATCGCCAAACTGATGAAGTTTCTAGCTGCTTTCACACCCACATCCGCTGTACTTCCTCCTAAAATCTTTAAATGAAGAAAAGTGGAAGGTGCAGAATGAAGCAGAGATTACTTGCGCAAAGATTTTCCTTGGAAACCTAAACTGCAGGGAGAAGGTATTTATTTGTACTCTTTTCCAAATCTATTCATGACAAAGAAAAAAATATATTTTAAATTCCCTCAGTAAAAGTTACCAATGGATTGATTCCCTGTAGGTTGGGGGCAAAGCTGTTCTACTGGGCATTGTGAGCTAATTGGGGAATAACCCAGGCATAGCAGGTGTAACAATTAGAAATACACTTTGTGTCATTAGAGTTCACTGTGAGGGCATCTTGACAAACTACCCCTGAGCAATTTTTAGGTCATAATAATTTCCTTTCTCTTATTGCTCTTGATGTTGCCACATTCCAACCACCGGATAGTTTCTTCAAATGTCTCAAAAACTCATGAAACTCAGAATGTCCAGATCCAAATTCAGAATCTTTGTAAACAGTATCACCAAGTGTGGCCCTCATCCTGCCTTCCCATTCTCAGTTAATGGCATCATCATTACCCCGTTTTTAAAGAAAGAAACCTGAGAGTCATCCTTGACACTGAATTCCCGCCTTGAACCCATCAGAACTATTATCAAACTCATGGCTTTTATCTCTTTAATACCTGCTGAAACCACCTACTTTTCTCAAAATTCAAGAAAACTCCATCTCCTGCCTAGAATACTCCATCTCCTGCCTAGAATACTCACATATCCTTTTAATAATCTATGTGTATTTTCTAATATATTCTCCCACCAAAATCTGAATTTGGGCCAAAATCATCTTTATAAAATGCCAAACCACTGAGCTCAGCACTGTTCGCACACCCATGGATGAGATTCCATTTAAACCCTTGAGCATAACTTATGATCACTCTTAGAAGATCAAAATTCTTAAGCCTATATATCCCTTTCCTCATCCTAAAACCTATCCATTCATTCTCTGTACCAACCTTTGGTCCATTGTAGCTAATAGATTCTTTAGGGCGAATGAGTCTATTTATTTGACAACAGAATCTAGGAGCTGAAGTTAAAAATCAAAATGTATAGTGAATTAAAAGGTTAAAAATCATGGCTTTCATATGCAATGTTGATGAGAAAAAAAACAAAAACAAAAAACCAGAATTTATCCCTTTGTTTTTCTAATCTTAGTGTAGCAATGTAAGGAGTTCTCCTTAAACAGCTGCAAAGCTGCCAGCATCTCTCCAGGCCCATCAGAATCTGTGTGACATGCTTGCCTCTGTGTGAGCAGCACACACACACTTTTGTGATGGGGCTGACAAGGGCTCAGGAACCAGGGTAGAAGCCTGAGAGTGCCCACTGGTTAGCACTACATTTTCTGTAGTAATGGGAACAGGTCATAGGAAAATGACAAACAAGAATTGCAAAATTATCCTTTCACTGATTTACACGTAGTAAAGCATACAACAGAAATCTGATGTAGGTTGGGGATAGTAAAACCCCAAATTTCTGATGGATAATAGGATTTGTGGCTCAGTTCTCTTGAGCTGCAAAGGCTTTCTCTGGGAAATCCTGGTTGTGTAGTAACTGTGAATTCACTCAGTGAAAGGGAAAATTGTGCTGTGTGTGGGTAACTTTGTGGATTGTGCAAATTTAATACCAAAGGCCCTGTGGTTCCTTGTCAGAGCAGTAACTTTTAAACATTGGATTATGTTTTACTCTTGGCCACAGAGGCTTTCTTTTCCAGTTCAGCTGGAAGCTTTATTCCCCTCATTCTCCTTCAGAACACCTTAATACTAATTCAACCAGCGTCAGAGCCGTTGTTCCAACTTTTAATTTTTGCTGCTGTTTATTTGTTTTGTCATTTCACACAACACAACTCCTGGCCTGACTCTTGAACTCAGTTAATTGCTAATGTCTCTTCCTCTCAGGTAGTAGCTTATTGAATGTACAAGAGGAAGCCTCACGTGTTCAAGCGAAATAAAAGTTATAAGGAACTGCCTCTGTTAATTCTGTGTAGTATAGCATTAACACTCCTCACTTGTAAAAATTGAGGATGTTTGACTAGAGGATCCTAACTGCTTTACAAGTATATTCTCCATTTGCCTGGAATCCGAAGGATTTTTTGGTTATTGGGCTCTAGGAGCATTTAAGTAGATTATGGAAGTAGAAAAGTAGGAAGGAGAAGAAAATATACTTTCTTTCTTGATTTGGTTGTAACTCAGCACCCCCCACTTTTTTTTTTTTTTTTTTTTTTAGCTTATCACTGAGATTGAAGAGGTGGAAATTTATGGGATAGATTTTCCTATGTAAGAAGCAGCCATATTCCCAAGTACTAAAAGAAAGAAAATATCCTTCTGAGTGACCCATTTATGTTCCATGTTCAGAGATTGTAATGCTTTTTCTTCAGACCTTTGATCAGTGAGAAAGTGACACAGCCTCAACTTAAAGAGCTTTATTCTCCTCCCTATAGCCTAGGACACTAATTAATTAATATTTAATGTATTGGTATAAATTTACCACACAATATTTCCATGGAACTGCTGTGATTTTGTCTCAGTACAATGAATTGTTCCAGTGAAATCAGATGGCCAGTCTGCTATTGATACAGTATTTTTTCTTAATGGTGCCATTCATAGAAACAACGTTCCATTGGTTTGGGTGATGGAGTGTGGTGGTAGATTTACATGTAATTTATCACCTAATTTGCCTTTTTCTCAGATTTTATAGGATGGCTAAGGCCTCGTATTTCTTCAGTTCACTGATAATGTTGTCTAGCATTCAATGTGCATGCCCATATATTAGATCATGTATTCAAATATAGTTCATCCCTTATCAAATTACTCCACTCAAAAACCTTCTCTGAGTCCTTGCAATTTGAATAAAGCCCCAATTCCAATGCTCAACAACCTATTACGTACCTGTCAAATGCCCATTACCTATTCTCCTACCAGTTTAATTACAAATGGATAATATTTCCCCTGGTATGTGTTCCACTGATTTATATCATAAGATGACTACTCATCTGGCCCAAACAGAAATTTTAGTACAGTTTTGAGTAGCTGGCCTTATTAATATTATAGTCTCAGATATTCTTAACTGAACATGGCATTCATGGTGACAGAAACCATATTCATATGGCCTGACCCCATACATCATTAGGCATAGAATGGATGTACATGAAGATGGCAAAAACAGAAACAGTAGAAAAACTATGAGACGCCTGTAGAGTGAAAAGCGTAATGTGACTTCTCTAATCCACTGTTGTCAAGGTGGTACCCACACATTGTACCACCTGTACACGTAGGCCCACAGACCTACTTTAGGCTCAGTAGAAGCAGTGGTATAGGAGGCACTTAGAGTTTAATAGACTATTTTTCAGTACAATGCTAGCTTATATACAGAATTTTCTGTAAAAATGTATGTTAAGCAACACAGAATAGAGTAGGAATTATTGTCTAAGAATCATACATCAGGAAAGATGTAGCAGAAACAGAAAATCATTGCTCATTTATTTAGACAAATATTTTTGTTTTATTGTTCACCAAAATACAAGAATATAAATAAAGAGGTCAAAAAGCTTACAGTGGATACCATGCTGGAAGGAAAAAAATTACAAGGAGATAGGAGGATATAATAAAGTTTTAATTTAATCAGTCCCTCTAAAATGAAACACCATTATTAGAAGATTGATTAGAAACACTGAAAATTTTCAAGTGGTTTGTAATTACTAAAAAATTAATTTTGTATAAACAGTACTTCTAATAATGATTTTTTATTGATACTGTCAGAATGAAAAGGGTAATTCATACTTACCAGAAATTTTTAACTCTACTTATTGTGAAATGTATTGCTATGTATTTGTCTATATGTTTAGACAAATATTTTAATGTCAGCAAGGAGGATACTTATTTAGAAGTACTTTTTTTTTAGGTGACTGTAATTACCTTGAAATGCTTTAAGATGATGTGTATAGTCACTTTTGTTTTTAAAACTCATGAACTTTATACTATTTAATTCCAAATAATTTCTTGGGTATAAAAGTCTTACAAAGCAAGAATAATGCAGCTGGAAATTGTTTGGTTTTATGGAAGGCTTTTAGAAGACTTTGCATGTGCTTCAAGCTGTTTCCAGAAAGGGTTATCATTGGAAGTAGAGCTCTCATGCATTTACTCATTCAATAATCATCTACTAAGATGATATAAGAGTGAAAGCAACTGAAACATTGCTTCACTCTTGCCTATAGCTGAAGAACAAATCTTAAATTCTGACAAATTCACTGGGTGTTTAAAAGACTTAATAATTGCTTAAAGTCATCAGCCATATTTTTATAACATAGTAATATAAAGTTTACACATTTTCTATTTTTTTAACTAAAAAATGCATTGAGTATTATCAATGTGCAAGATGTCCATTTAGGTTTTGTGCTTATTTAAATAAAAATTGAAAAAATGGTAAGGACATTTTATTTGAGAAATGTGTATTCCTTTATCATTTTACTAGTCCACCTTAAATTTGTTTCTTTTGCTGTATGTGTAAGAAGAGATTTAGTAGAGAATTGCAGTAATATACAACAAAGGATACATTTTGCCCTGTTCTTCATCTGGGGCAGATTCAAGACTCACAAATCTGAAAAAAAAGAGTGTTGTAAGAGAACAGGAGAACAGTAAGCAAATGGCCACCGCTGTGGAGAAGGAATTACTTCAGCCTCTTTCATAATTCTTTTTCAGTATGCCAAAGATGACATGGGTGTAAGAAACTTAATTTAATTGTTCATAGGAGTGAAGTTTGAATAAAGACTGAGAAACCAAAAAGAATCAAAGCATTAATAGATTCATCTGTTTGGAAATTTTATATGGCAACAAGAATTCAAAATAGAACTGGTGTTTTTATGTTGGATCTGTAGAAAGTTAACATAAATGGAAACTCCATATGAACAATAAGAGGTAGAAAACCAGAAACATGCAAAACACTCAGCAACTAAATTCCATTTGGAAGAAAATCCATAATATAATACATACAACTTCAGGGTGGCTCAGTGTCTCAGTCAGTTAAGCAACTGACTTTGGCTCAGGTCATGATCTCACGGCTTGTGGGTTAGAGCCCCACATTGGGCTTTGTGCTGACAGCTCAGAGCCTGGAGCCTGCTTCGGATTCTGTGTCTCCCTCTCTCTCTGCTCCTCTCCTGCTCATGCTCTGTCTCTTTGTCTCTCAAGAATAATAAATATTAAAAAAAAAGAATTAAAAAAAAAGAATACAGACCATATCAAAAATAAAGCTAAAATGAAATCAATAAATTCAACCATGGATATAAAATCTAGAAGAAACCAAAACATTACAAGAAAGGAGAGCCAATGGAAAAAAATTTAAAACTAGGAGAAAGTAAAGAATTATATAAGAGCAAACAAAGTTAGATGTAATTTTTAAAATTATAAGCTAATTCTTTTAAAATACCTACAAAATAGAAAAATTATTAGCTAACCTACATTTTCCTAAGTGAGAAAAAAATGATAAAAGGGAAGTAAACTTCCAAACCCATAAATGTAAAAACCATTATGTGAGTCTTTGTCTAGTTCTAGATAAATAAATTTTAAAATATGGATGAAGTGAATAGTTTTATTAAAAATAAAATCATAAATTTTATT